TCTATTTACATAAACTTTAATATGTTTTCTTGGTCTTTCTCATTTTCACGATTTCAGACACTGATATTGAATGGGGCAAAGCTCATCGACGATCCAGGGATTCCAGAGAGTTCAGAGAATTGTCACACAGTGGAGTATTCTCTCGGGATCCTTCAGATATACAGAGCGCTTTCTGGTGAATTCTACATCGCTCTTACCAGCAAGGACCCTATTGAAACATCGTTTTCGTTGTGTCGCCGTTTGAAGAAACTCGAAGATAAAGAGTACGAATTCAGAACTGAGTACGAAGAACTACAGACACAGGTGACGTAGTGAAAGACAAAGTTTGTTAATATTAGATATAGAAGCTACAGAGGGTGTAATTTAACTTTATAAAAAAGGTTTCATACAAATGAAATAGAATGGTTGACGGGAGCAGATGTAGGAATTAAAAGGATGTTGTTTAACTAAATAAATTAATAAGGACAGTGACCACAAGTAAAAGAGAATCGGGCTACTTCATGGTTATATTATTCTTCATGAGAAGTATTAAACATGTTTAATATTCTACGACTGTCTCTGAAATACCTTTTAACTATTCTAAACTTTATATTGGGTTCGCTTATTTAGCCACATATTTCAACAGGTTGAGAAATTTAGTGCTAGTCTTCTTGACCAGCTGCGTGGGTCGAACGAGCTGGAAACTGTTTTGACGCATAACTTGAGAGCCTGGGAAGAAGACTACACGACGGTTTCCGATAACCAGCTACTGAAGCTACAGATGGCTATAGAACACAAGCAAAAAGAAGTGAGGAGGATTTTAAATTTAGTATAAAATACTGTCAATTTTGTAAATTTTTCACCCATTTTTTGACCTTTCGCTGTGCATACGACATACAGTGACACTAAATTTAGCCAGAATAATGTCCATTCAAATCATTGGGCAATTAATCAAATATTCTATATAAACCTTGTTATCAATAATGTTGGCTTATTGACAATCTAACTTCCATTCCACGGCGGGGCATTCTTGATCTGGCGGACAGTAAACGAGCCAACAGAGTTGTTGTAACTTGTTTTATCGACTATTAAGTACCTGGTTCCTGTTTTTAAACCCAAACAAAAATTACCATTTTGGTTAAATAATTGAATTATTTGAACGTAAGCATTATTAATGTGGCGTCCTCTATGGGTAGATAAAATCGAAATGACTGTACTGTAAAGCCGGGCACTGACTGCACCCGACGGTCGTCGGCCGACGCGCTCCCATGCAGAGCGCAACTCGACGGCGCACGCGCAATGACGATTCGTTCAGACTGCCACCAACAATCAGCAGACGGCGTCGGGTCGTCTAGCGCTCACAAGGAGTGGAGTTGGATTCGTCTGCGACCTTCGTACGACGCAGTGAGTGCCCGGCTAAATTTTCATTAATTATTATGCTATTTATCTTTCAGTTTGTGGCTCATCCCAATTGCCAATTAATATTGACAAAACGTTGGTATGAGGGACTTCCTTCAGGTTGGCGTGATTACTCTGTAATACGTGACTTGATTGGCAGTTTAATAATCGGTTGCTCATATCCACTCTTCTCAATACTGTACATTTGTTATCCATTTGGTTGGATCAAGAAATTTGTCAGTTCACCGTTAGTGCATTGGTTTTTAATTATTTAGAATTTGAAATGGATTTATTGTATCAATA